AGGTGTAGTGAAAGCAGAAAAGAATAGGAACAGCAACATGAGTACTAAACAACGATCATTTCCTTCGAAACGACATAATGAGCGTAAGTGCCATCACACGTTCTGGTGAAGGAAGTCATTGATAGATTTCGAACAGCAGTTCGAGCTGTCATAGCTGTTTCTGATAAAACGTGCAGTTTGCCTTTTAAACACTTCCAGGATATGAAACAAACATCACCATGAAGTTCATAGTAATAGTTTAAAACATTAGATACTACCAACCTTCGCTGTATGCCTCAACCATATCCAAGTTGTGAATATTGATCGAAAGAAGGCCAGATATGAGACGAAATTCATCGTAGCGAGGGTCGAGGACTGAAAAAAAAATCTTGGTATCCCTTGCTTTGACAGAACTGTCGCAGGTAAGGGGATCGTTGATGCCGGTGATGAACACGTGGTCATCTCTTCGATCGGTTAAGAGTTCCTGGCCTTTGAACACCCTGAGGACGCGCACTTTCGCCTTAACATGGCAGTGTTCGTCCTCGCACTTCAGCAGCTGGTCAACGGTGCCACTCAACACGAAGTCGGACTGTTGAACAGTCTTGGATATGTCTGTGGCCGAGTCTGGACAAGACACCACATATGCCCTGGTGCAGTGGCTGAGAAGCATGAAGGTAATGAGCCAGAACGCGACAAAAGCTAACCACCTCCATAGTACTTTATCGACCATGGCAATAACCCAACAAGCCACAGTCACACTACAATTCTAGCACTAGCAGACAACGGCCGGCGCAAAACGACTTGTTGGCACCGGCTTCAACGGCTGACCTTATAGTATAGGGCAGTGGCGCCATCTGGCGGCCGGGTGCGAACTTTAGTAGCTGTTCCAAGGCATGGGCAGCTTGGCTCCAGTCACTACCAATTATACGGAGGATAGACGAGAAGCTGACGCTGTCAAGTGTGAGGCAAAAGCCGACGAGCGAACAGTACGCCATTGTCGAAACTCGTCGGCTAGATTCGAGATGGAGGCAATCATTTCAAGAAGACTACCATCGATTATTCTGACGAATATGTCTGATCCGGCGCTTCCATTCCTCCAGCAAAGTTTCGCCTTCAAAGACCATCGACCGTCGGTTAGAAAGTCATGCATGAATTTTAAAGCTTCGTGGCCGTGGCATTGGGTCGTTGCCACAAACGACGACGACGGTGACGAGCCATCGCCTCCTCCGGTCAGCCGACGTTGAGCCATCGCAGCTGGTTCAAAGCTCACCAACTCATTCCACTCAGAAAAAGTCTGCTCTTTCCGGCTGAGCGTAACTGCGGCCGAATCCGTTCATGATCGCGTCGAACGATAGTCCGGCACATACATTTATTCTGGTCGACTACAACCGGAACGACATGCATACAAAAACGTTATCAACAGTCTTCGTTGCTTCGAGGTATTTCCTCAACTCTCGCAGCCCCAATAGACGAGATGGCTTACTTCTAAGTCTAGATCCTTAAGCTGTGCCTCTGTTCATGACTCTCAGACAGAAGAACGAGCAGAAGCGACTGACTGTATGTAGCCTCGGTTCATGACGCTCTGTGATATAACGATTCGCTTCTTGACGGTGCAGCAGTTTGCTGATACTTTCAATAGTTATTCTCCATGTTGCTACCCTTTCGTCGGTAAGGCAAATTCAAAATGATGAATTCCTAGAATTCCTATTCCAACAATGCCAAATGTTCGATATATTCCGGCCATTTGGCCCACAGTTTTGCCCTAGGCCCTTGCAATGTACCTCTGCAATAAAAGTCATCCTTGGGAGTCTCTCCTCTGCTATCCCGATCACCTGACCAGATTACCTAAACATGCCACCTTCTGGTATGAAGACACAGTAGCACACATGCAAAGGCATCTCTCATCTCCGCTTTTTAAAGTGTGTTGAACCTCGTTTAAACTTTGTTCCTTATTCTTAAGTTGTTTTGTCAGTGTATGACCAGAAAATCAACAACTCGGTATCATTTGGAATCGAACGGAATGCAATCAGCACCAGATGCCCCACATCGAAGTATTGGTATTTACTTAACTGTGCCCGGGCTGTCTAGGTTAAATATTGTTCCCCAACTTTCCCAAACTTTTGGATATACAATCTACAATTTCATTTACAGACCATTCGTAAACAATTAAGTTGGTTTCATTTATGTCGATGGAAGACTTTTACTTTTAAGCGCAACAGAAACTGCTTAACAGCAAAAAATCAAACTGTTTTTGAAAACAATACCTCCCACTCCGAAGAAAGTCGTTTAGTACGGACCGAATGTGAGGTAGGAGCTCATCCCTCGACACAATGGCAATTTTGCATTGCTTAAAATAAAACAGTGCCTAAGGTTGTTCGTTGCTTTTGCTCAATCTACAGCCGATAACTTGGCAGGTGGCAGAAACTACATACCTACCCAAAACTGGATGCTGTCACTTGTATCGTGTGCCATTATTCCGGTAGTGCGTTTCGCTTTCATGTCCATCGTGCATCTAACCTCGGCACCGATGTCAAGAAACAATAAATACGGACAAAATTAAGAAATCACACGACAGGGTGACGCGTATGGTGTACGTGACAGCTGTGAGTACCCATCATCATAAATGATAAGACTTATTAATGAGGTAGCGATATTCAGAGTTTGGACGAATATTTCTATGCCTATCAAGGGAATGTGTTGAAGTTAAAGATGCTCTAGCTACAAGCTCAGAGAAAAACGATTAACGCCATCAACCATATTAATCCCCAAAGAAAACATGAAAAGAATGGAAATATCACATCAAATGAGCTGAGCAGTGAATGTTAATCCATGGATTAGATCGCAGCATGATTCTCTATGTATAATTTATCAAGAAATAAGGAGAATATTGCAATATTCATTTGTTTTGGATGAGGAGGATCAGAACAATGCGGATCAACAAAATTTTTATATGATTCATCATCCCTCTGCATGGCGAGGCGGCTGGATGTACCACAGAAGATCCTCTCCAGCGGAGTGAGACGGCGAAGTCCTACATTGGTCAGTGAATTCTACCGCGACCAAGAGCACGATCACTATTCGCTGTCGCCATGTGAATCTCGATGGTACGGTTGAAAAATGTAAGGGACAAAGGCTATAGTTAACGGTGATGTAACCCTGAATGAAAAGCATGTTACGGACGGAAGAATACAAGAGTGATAAGTGCAGGCTACCGCGTTTGCCCCCCCCCACCCTTCCAAAAAAAACGAATGGCTGTACTTCAATTCCGTTGAAGGTCAGTACGCGACTGGCAAACTACAAAAGGATATCATGATGATTTTCGTGATCATATCACATCTAGCCACAGCACCGGCACTCGGTCATCAGACTGTTGGCAAAGAAGTTCAAAACGTATGTTCTCTGCGTGTACGAAAGCCGAATATCCGCCAAACTTGTAGCACAGTGGAGCAACGATTATCAAATATGCCTCGGGAAAGTTTATGAAAATCCGGCTCAGACAGGTAGTATAGATTTCCTCATAGAGAGGAGGACTGTACCGCTCTGTCATGTGGCCAGCTGCGACCTAACTCTGCGGATGAACAAGAGAAGATCAATAAGTTAATCGAAGGTTGCCGCCAAATACAGCAAGCGAATAATGGAGAAGTAGAGTGGTTCTACGAGGAACTGGAAGTCAATAGAAAAAGTCTTCCAAATACACAATCATCCAAGAACAGTTGAACGTTATAGTTGGAAAGAAAACTACTGAGACAGAGCGCTTCATCGGCCGGTTCGGAAGTGGAGAGCGAAAGGACTCGCGACATTTGCCGAAGTTGACCACCTTGTCTGAAAAAGCCAAAAAGCCACCGTGTACGTAGAGGAGCCTTAATGGAACGAACTTTAGCCAAATCGACTGTGTTGACGGACGCAAGCGGGCAATGAGGTGTGTCTGTCATTGGAGGAAACGTCTTCTGTCTGAGTCAAACAACACATTACTCCTCTCCACAATCGCATTCGATGTGGATCTGGTTGCGAGGCTCAAAGACCACCAACCATTGGGCGAATATTCGATTATGAAGCTTTCGCAAAGAACCTTCCTCAGTTGAACCTCGCAACTGACACCAACAGAGGCATCGATACAGAATGCCAGCAGTTCATCAATGCCATCAAAACTGCCACCTGGTATTCCAACCGGGCAGCAATATCGACAAAGAAGTGCACCAGCCCTGCAGCGAGGCAGCTGCTACCTGAAACAGCCAATATGAATCCGGACATGCAGCTCGATGAGATGTAGACAATGTTGTGAAATTCAAGAGGGGCGAAAGAATAGTACAGGAAAACGGAGATTGGAGAGATTGCATTGAAGATGAAATGCCTGAAGTACACAGAAGAGACATCTTCTTAAACAACGCGGATTCCGTTTGCACGAAATTTTCCTTCCCTAAAAGACGAAGGTGAAACAAGAACCACAGATCACCGTCGCATATTAAGCGATCTGCACGAGATTCTACAACAACCTCTCTTTCCGTTGTCCTATAAACAGTTCCCAATGTCACCTTGAATGACGTAAAGTGCACATTTGAGAGTGGCAGATGTTCTGACAGAAACGGCATTAAACTAGAACATCTCAAGAAAGGAAAAACGCTCAAAACTTTTGCTGAAGAATCTGCAGAGTGCATCACGTTGATGAAGACGTCAGAAGCATGGCAGCACTTCAACTATTCATCTGTTCAAGAAAAATGATGCTGAAAATCTTTAGAACTATAGACTCATCACTTTCCTGTCAAAAGCCTGCATGGCCTTTAACCAAATGTCTTCAACCGTATCAGAGAAGGTCTGGAACTACTCGCTAGTACAAAACGAGGTTGTTTTCAAACAGCATTCACCACCATGGACCACATTCATATCATGAATTTGTTAACAGTGAATTACAAGGAATTCCAGTTCCTCCTCTTTACGCAATCATCGACGTCAGAAAAGCAGTTGATTCCATCTAAATGAAGACTGTGATGATTGCCTTGCATGACTTCGGTTCAACTCTATCTTTGTTGACCTGACCGAAGAAACGAATACTGACACCACAACCAACATCAGGCTGTTCGAGGAACCGTGTGAATGAACATCGAAGGAGGAGTACTCTCTTGCCTGAAATCCCTCTTCAGTCCGTTGAGCTGGGGAGGTGGCATTGACAGAGAAGGAGTACGGCTAACCGATCGGTTGTTTGCAGACGACGTCATAATCTTTGCCAATGACCTGGTGGAACTGCGAGCAAAACCTGTGGAGATGCAAAACGAGTTGCGCGCCATCGGTCTGGAGATGAGCATCTCTAAGACGAAATGGATAAGCATAAATACTGCCCCTCAGGTACCATCCTCATTGACAGGAAAAAAGTGGGAAAAAAAGATTCGCTAGCTACATGTACCTCGACCACAAACGAAACTCAAATATCATTGGTAACTATAACAACGTCACCGGCGAGATCAGCAGAAAAAAATGCGACATGGGCAAGTTTCTGTTAACGAACTACACATGTCCAGGAAGAGAAAACTGCTCGACTCCGCTGTCTATCGGATACGATGGTGCTGAGTTCTGTGGTTCTACCACCAAGGCTGAGGAAAGGAACCTAATATGGCCAAAAGGGTGATGGAAAGAAGAATGTGCTAATGTCCCTTCGAAACCATTTTCTAAATGAAATATTTATATGACGAATACGGTTTTGCCATATATTCACTGCTGTTTACAACTTGAAGCAAAGATGGGCTGGCTATGTGGCTAGT